AGTAGGAACATGGCTCAGTAGGAGTATTTGCCTAATGAACATAAGGTCTTCTATTCTAGTCCCAGCAACACACACACACACACACACACACACGTGTGCGCTGTTATGAAGTCATGTAGGTATAGGGAATACAAGTATAAATTCCTCAAAGTTGCTGCTCATTCAGGATAGGATTAGTGTTGTGGGAAAGGTATCAAAAGCATCAAACACACCTAAGATCTAAAGAGTTACAAGGAATGTTCACCACACCCTTTATAATCAAACCTTCTGACATGATGCTGTTCCTCTACCATGAGAAGCCTAGACAAGTTCTATCTTGATAACAGTTCAAAAGCAGAACAAGCTGTCATGCTTCAAGTGCAATAGAAAGACCCAGTCACTCACTTCATCTTCCGCTTGACCTGGCTTCCTAGCTGGAGCAGTCTGAGAGCTCTGGTGGGGAGACGGTGGCTGGACTAGTACTGCCCGACAGCAAAGGCTGCCCCGGAGCACTGCACCCTTCTGAAGAACTTCTGGAGCTTAATTACAGGAGCAACAGGATCCACAAGCTTGCCTCCCTGACCTTGGAACCGTGAGCATTGATCCACCTGATCTTTCATGCTCTAACAGGTTTCCCCATTCTAAAACCTACTTTTCTCCATATCAGTGCCAAAATTCAGAGAATTTTGAAAAGCATATTTCATAATATTTAAGTTTATCCAACTTCCAGTTGAATACATATAGCTAACTATTCTTTGAGAACAAAGGACATCAATTGAAGTCAACACTCTAATTGAGATCCTTCCCGAAGTACCAACAACTAGAAACTTCCCAGAGACAAGATGAGGAAGGTGTCCTGTTATGACAGGGATAAGGACTGCCCCCCAAACACAAATCTCTAAAAAAGGAGGGGGAGGGGCAAGTATGACAGGACCACATGATGTTAGCACTTGAGGGGCTAAGGCAGAAGAATTCGGCCAGCATGGGCTACATAATCTATTTGGAGTTCCCCTACTTTACAGTGCACTGGAAACACACCAAGATTTGACATTCAATAATTTAGGATGATACTCTCAATAAAGTGAAATACTAAGGAATCTGTTTAAAATTGGACTAAACTGATTGTATAAAAATGCTAAAGCCCATATGTGCAAATGGGATCTTACTGCTACAAAGTGTGATAACTGCAGTCTCTCAGAATATTTGACTTTGCAAAGTCCTCATAATCTGACCTAATTGAGCTTTACCACTTTTAATGAGAAGCATTAATACTATCCTTTAGGAGTTCCCACACCGAGTCAAAGATAAAGTTTTATCTTCAGTGGTTTAATTCATTTCCCTATCATCTCAGCTGAGAAAGCTTTCTTAAGTAAATACCAAGTATTTCGAGTTAAGAAGGGAGAATGGTGATCCCCAATTTGAATTCCAGAGTCTCAGAAGTGCTGCAATTACATCCCAGGAAGCAGGAGGCCTCCTCCGTTAACTTCCATTGTGCTCCTCCCTCCAGCCGCTGTGCTCCTCCCTCCAGCCGCTGTGCTCCTCCCTCCAGCCGCTGTGCTCCTCCCTCCAGCCGCTGTGCTCCTCCCTCCAGGCGCGCAAGGGAGTGATGATGACGTTAAATCTAACGAGGCACAGACTTCCCGCTGCATTTCAAGTTTGATGATTTTATAAATTGCACTGGCTTCAAAAAAAAAAGTAAGAAGCTCATCCTAACTACCAAATTTCCAACGCTGGGAGTCTATTTATTGGGGAAAAACTGTTTCTGACCGACTGAAGAATTACAAGAAGAGAGTAGCCCTGGGACTGATTAGGACACTGCCCAGGACTCTCTGGGTGGACTCTCAGCCTGACTGTTCACCAGTTCCACTGACCTTGAACAAAGCTTAAGCTTTGCTCCTCAGTTTTCCATCTGCAAAAAGTAGGACACTAATCTACCTCCCTTCCAGTAACGATGAGTCAGCAGCTAAGTGTGAACTACTTGGAAGAGACCAGCATTTACGCTTATAATACATTAGCTGCTATTTTTATTTTCTCTTTTACAATGACATTCAACTTCTCAAAAGTAATCACAATACCAGCTTCTTTAAAAGACTATTCCACCAAACAATAGTTGTTAAGACTGTACCATCCTGGAATAGTCTCCATTCATATCCTAAATTCTGCCAAGCATGGAAACATACCTGAAATTCCAGCTGCTACAGAAGCTAAGGTAGAAGGGCCAAAATTCAAAGCCAGCCTGGGAAACTAAATGAAACCTTGTCCCCCCCCCCGTTTTTTTTAATGAAATTAGGAATGGAGAGATGGTGTTGTGGGTAAAGTACTCACCTCACAAGCACACAGATCTGAGTTCAGATACTCAGCACTCAAGTAAAACAAGGCTGGCTACAGTGGATGCACATTTGTAATCCTAGCACTGAGAAGGCAGAGAGAAAGGAAGATCCCTGGAGCTCTCTGGGCAGCCCATATAGCAAATAAGTCTAAGCTCCAGGTCCAGTGAAAGATCCTGTCTCAAAAATTACAGTGGAGAGCAACGGAGGAAGACATCCAATATTTAAAAAGAAAGCCAGGTATGGTGGTGCACACCTTTAACCCCAGCACTCCGGAGGCAGATTTCTGCAAGTTTGAGGCCAGCCTGAGCTACAAAAATAGTGTTCTAGCCACCATTGCTATAGAGTGCTATAGATCCTGTCTCCCCGCTCCCCCCAAAAAAAGCCTCTCTGCTAGCTAGTGAGTTCCAAGTCACTCTGGGCTACATACATATACATATAATGAGATTTTATCTAAGAAAATAACATGTTTGTTTGTATGTATATGTGTGTGTATACATACTAATATTAGGTTGAGGCTAGATTGCTCACTGATAAAATATCAGCAAAGTCTTATTATGATTACTTGATACAATTAATCCCCAAATTCTATCAACTAAATATTCTGGAGCGCGTTTTCTCAGTTTTCCTTGCTAAATAATGACGCTAACTGGACAGCTGAAATATCTACATCCTAGAAAAAGCAACTGCAATTGCACACTAAGCAATAAATGTCTCAGTTCTCTATCCTAGACACTTTCAAACATGAATTTTTCCTTTAGACTAAAAATAGTTCTGTACAGATGCCGCCTGAAGAAAAATGATAAGGCTAGCAAGAACCGATGAGCAAGGCTGCAGAGAAGGAGAGGAGCTCTGGAGAACCTGTCCTGCCCCTCCAGACTCGGAAAACGCCTCCCTGCAGAGGACACAATGATTCATCAAGCTATGACATTGACCACAGTGCCTGAACAGAGACCATGTGCCTAATAATTATGCAACTTTGACATGGCTGAGGGTAAAAACAAAGATAGCCAAACTTATAAAGAAATGGCTCTGGATTCCCTTAAAGAATTCCACCTCAGCACTCACAAGCAAAACCAGCAAGTCTCTGTCTGAGACCAGTCTGCTCTACACACAGAGCTCCAGAACCGCCAGAGCTGCACAGTGAAGCCCTGTCTCTAAATAAAAATTTAAACCTTTTACTTTAAATGTTTCAAGGAGAAACAGGTGCCTAAATGGCTGTGTTCAGGAATTCAAATAAGTCATTTTCTGTAACTTTTTAAAAGAGAGTTATGAAGAAAATTTCATAGTTTACTTCATTTTTGATACATCCACAATCAATGAATAAATAAATGTTATGGAAGACCAAGAAGATACGAACACAGTTAAGAAATCCATTCTAGACTTCATACACCTGTGTGAAGAAGACCTGGTCTTCCTCAGCTTCAGAGGAATAAAGCAAAAAGGAAAACAGGGCCCATTTCATGAGTTCTTTGTACCAGAAGACATTAAGCAAACCAGCTTTGCTAATACTTGGTTCTCCTAGGAACTGAGACAAAATCCAGGCCTCGTTGTGGAAGCAGGCAGTCACACCTTCCCACAGAGCCTAATACCTGGCTCTCAATACTTCTCAATAAAAGTTTACAAGCATAATTGTTTCCTATTAACAATGGTCAATGTCATTGTTTTAAAAAACGCAAAGTTAACTGTTATCAATGAGTGTGCTTAACCAAAAGATGGGGAAGGAATGCAAAACCCGCAGGGCTTGATTTACAATCTGCTGTCCTACTTCAGTATGACTTTGGGAAATTAATTCAGTAAGTTTAAAATAAAACCAAGAAAATCATACCCAACTGAAGACTTAAAAATCTCAGCAAAAACCAAAACTCTGTTGTGTACCTTCAATGCTATAAAAATAACACAAAGCTTTGGGCCAGCAAGCCAGCTCAGTGGTTTAAGTTGCTTGCTGCCAGCCTACCAACCTGAGTTTGATTTCCAGGACCTACCTAGTGGAAGGAAGAACACCTGCAATTGTCCCCAGGTCTCCACGTGTGCACTGTGGCTTGCAGGCATGTGTGCACACATACACAAAAATGTAAAAAAAACACCAAACAAGGCAAAATAAACGTTCACCTACTCCCACTGACCACTGACAATAAATGGCTTTAAAAGAAGGGATTTAGGTCACACAATATGCAAAGATCATCAGTATTAAAATAAGTATGGAGGTTTTTCTCTCTACAATTAAGGGAAGGAAACCCCACACTCTCCTTTCTTGGGCTTGAAGAAGGTAGATTCAAGTTTACCAGGCAGTTACAACATAAAACAAGTCATGTGCCACTGAAGAAACTCTCAATACGTCATAAAATGATGTTTAAACAATCATGCTATGAAACACCCTAATATAAAAGTATAAAAGCCAGTTTCAAGGCAGAAACAACTGATCTTTTCAAACTCCACTCAGATCTTCCGTGCCCATCGGTGGTTCTCAGCCTTCCTAATGCTGTGACCCTTTAATACAGGCAACTATAAAATTATTTTTGTTGCTACTTCTTAACTGTAATTTTGCTACTGTTACGACCGTAATGTGACTATTTTGGGAAACAGATGTTTGCCAAAAGGGTCGGGCCACAGGCTGAGAAAGGCCTAAGTGGAAGCAGAAGCTAAGACACTAGTATCTCCCTCCAGTGCATCAGTACCACAGGGCTCACTCACCTGGTCTTTCTCATGGGGTAGAAGGCTGACGGGAGGGAGTGAGGACGGAAAAACACTGGGGTACTGGGGCGCCCCTTTGCCATCTGAGCTCCCATTATTGACCCTGTACTGTGGTCCTTCCTTCAGTAACCTCCCATTGTTCACAGCCCGCTTGGCCCCTAGTCGCAACCTCTGCTGAAAGGCTGGGTGGTTGGTGGTGCCTGTAAGATCACTCTGGCTTCTCAGATACTTCTCGATGTTCTTCAAGGAGGAGCCATTTGGCTCCTCAAGGCCTTCGATTGCTCTCTTTAAAAGTTTATTCCAATCCACATTGCGTAGATCATTACATGGTGGTCCTTTAGACCCCTTGGTTGGCTTGGGCAAAGTGCCTGGTTTAACTGATGAAAACCGCCCAGGATTGTCTGGGTCCTTATATGAAGCAAGGCCTTTGTTGGTGACTTTGAGAACGGAGCCATCCTGAACACTGAGCTCCAGCTGTTCCGAGACGGTTTTCTTATCCAGCCCATGGGATGTGCTGACTGCATGGCAGATTCTCTCTTCAGAGGGCCGCTGCTTCTGCTTCTTGATTTTCTGCACTGCTTCAAGAATCCACTCTGTGTAAAGTGGGTTTGCAAGTTTTACCATGGTTGACAAATGGCTTCTCCAACACAGACGTTACCCATAGAGGTTCACCTTGTACTAACACAACCTGAACATTCGAAAGTCACAATTCAATACACGAGCAGAGGATCCCAGCCCATGTCAGGCAACAGCTTAGGGACAACCATCCTTAGGAGAGTCGAAAGAGGCAATGTTGACGGTTGTCTTATTTCACCAATGGGAAGGACTGCACTCTTCAAGTGAAAGACATCTTTAGGAAATCAAGACCTTAAAGGATAAAAAAGGAGAGAAAAAGCTCTTAATAATAGAACTTTTAAAAATAAAGATTTCTCAGTATTATTCTTTATCAGGTGCAAATAACTTGAGTAACACCCTTGAGATGGCTCAGCCGGTAAAGGCACTGCCTTTAGCACTGATGACCTGAGTTCAGTCCCTAGGATCCACACAGTAAGAACAAGACCTTCCTCCCGAAACTTGTCCTCTGACCTTTATGCACACACTGTAGTATATGCTGCCCCAAATCCCTCAAGTACAAAATAAATCAATTTAAAATGTGGAAAATTTGACTCATGTTATCAAAGTTAATAATCATATGAAAGCAGTCTAAGGTACATGTCTTCCACAGATATAAAATAAATATAAAAAAGGAACGATAGTACACGCCTTTAATCCCGGCACCCAGAAGACTGAGACAGGCAGATCTTTGAAGAAGACTGCCTGGTTGGTCTACAAGAGAGTCTCAAGCCAGCCAAGAGCTACATCGTGAGACTGTCTCCAAAGAAACAAAAACTACAGACACAGGAAAGCTCAGCTGAGCTAGGTCACAGAGGAAAATTTCCAATGTAGCCATCTGTATGGAATCAGGACATTCTGGTGCTCTGCTCTGCGAGCATCTGTGTGTGAGAGCATCTATGGCACAGGCTGGCAAACTGAGACGAATACAGTAACACCCCTTCACCTTTTAATAATGCAGTATTCTACTTATCTTAACACCTGTCCCAGCTCATCCCACACCTCAACAGAAAGACAATCCCTACAATCTGACTCCAGCTGGCCAGGGCAGCAATGCGCTCAGACTTCTGCTCTCCAATCTGGTACTGAGTACAACCCTGGGCCAGACCTACTGCTCTCCAGTAACGACTACATCTCAGCCCGCTCTATCCAGATGACAGTGTGTTCACACATAGCATCATTTTGCTAGGTGTGATATGATGGCACAAGCCTGGAATCTTAGCATTTAAGAGGTTGCAGTAAGGCTGACAGTTTGAGACCAGTCTCAGCTACATAAAACTGTCTTTTTATCCAAATAAACAACAACCACCCAAAATCACAGCGATCATGTAATCGGCAGCATATTAAAGAATACAACATTTGTACTCAGAGAGTCTGGAGTTCCTGCGAGAGTGGCCCAGTCAGCTCCTGACCCAACGGACTGAAAGGGACTTCTCTGCAAATCAGCACAGTCAGCTCCCCATGTTTCCCTGAGATTCAGAAATGGGGAGCTGATGAGACCTACGGGTCATCCAGTCCACTTCGAAGCTGCCCAGCACAAGATCTTTGTCCAATCTCTCTAACAGCCCACCAAATCTTTGGAGGCAGCTCAATGCCCTGAGAGGAAGCTGGAGCCATAATACATTTCTTACTCACAGAAGCAAGTCTCCACCTCCCTATGATTCTGACATACAGGTTGAGTTCCCCAGGAACTCAATATGATGGGCCCTCAAATACTTGAAAATAAGTATCTTTTAAAAACCACTATCAGCCACCCCCACCTCTACACCTACCTTCCATCCTAGCGCCTTCAACCTTTATACATCCTAGTCTCTAAGCACAACCATCTGTCGGCTGCTCACGTCCACCTTAAAAGTCCCCAATTCAGGGGTTACTCAGTTCAAAGTTTAACTCAAAGTCACAGGAACCCCCTCAATGGCCACGTCATGCTGGCCATGCTGAGGATATAGCCCAACCAAATGCCCAGATCTTTCTTCAAAAATGTTGACAATTAAACTTTTCCAGCCCTTCCTTAAAAAATTAAAATGCTGTTTTTTGTTGTTATTCTTGTTGCTTATTTCCTTTTGCTGTTTGTTGTTTAATACAGGTCATGCTAGCCAGATACTCATTAGGTAGCTCAAGCTAACCTTGAACTCACAGCAAACCTTCTGTATCAGCTTCCTAAATCCTGAGTACATAGGCAAACACCACCGTCCTTAGATTATTAAATGGTAGTATTCAAAGCTGATTTGAGCTATCTTCTAACCTGTCAACCATCTTGTGCCATCACATAAATCACTAACAGACCTTAGAGCTGGAGCACTGTGCTCTGGATAAAACCACTGAAGCATTCCCCCTTGCAGACGTGCACAAAAGGTAACGCATTTTTTCAAAGTGAAATCATTTACAGCAAAACTTCATTAGAAGATATTTCACTGTATCCAAGTGATTATCTCATCTTTTGTCACTTATTCAAGAGAAACCACGACTACCTTGATCTGACTATACGAAACACACCTAAGGGAAGCAGATGAGATGTCATAGCAAAGTGCCCAGTGATGCAAAGTCACTTCTAGGCATTTTAGAAACATAACAAAAGAGCATCAGTAAAGCAAAATATGTCTCAAGTAATACCCAAAATATACATTGCCAACAAGCTTTTACCACAATCAGTAGTATCCACCACCAAAATAACCATCCATATCCATTACCAACATAGTTCAGAAAGACTGACATTTCATATCTTAAAAATGTAGTAAGAGGAAATACCAAAATTCGAACTTCAAATGTTTAACAATCCATGACAAAAAATGAAGACTGTCCAGGTCTCCATGCAAATATGCCCCCCCAGTTATGTTTATTTGGGCATAAAGACCCAAAAATCAGCAACCATCTCAGGAAAGTGGATAAAGAAGTACATTTCACTTTCTTTTAAACTATGACTCCTTCTAATTTTTTTCCACAGATTATCTGCATTAAAAATATTTCTGCACAGGGCTGGAGAGATGGCTCAACAGTTAAGAGCATTGACTGCTCTTTCTTTCAGTGGTCCTGAGTTCAACCACATGGTAGCTCACAACCACATGGTAGCTCACAACTATCTGTAATGAGATCCAATGCCCTCTTCTGGTGTGTCTGAAGACAGTGACAGTGTACTCACATATATACAATAAATAAACAATCCTTTTTAAAAATAATCTCTGCAGGCTGGGCAATGATGGCGCACGCCTTTGATCCCAGCACTCGGGTGGCAGAGGCAAGTGGATCTCTGTGACTTTGAGGCCAGCCAGGTCTACAGAGTGAGTTCCAGGACAGCCAGGGCTACACAGAGAAACCCTGCCTCAAACAAAACAAAACTGACTGCATTGTGAGCTGGTGAGTGGGCTCTTGCCACCAAGCCTAGCAATGTGAAGGCCACAATGAAGTGGAAGGAGAGAACTGCCCTTCAAAGCTGTCCTTAGACCCCAGAATGTGGTCTGTAGCACACATCCACACCAATGGTTTTAGTAAAGGAAGAAAACTTTGTATGGGAATGCACAAGGACGGCTCAGAAGCCACACTTGTCTCCAAGTCTCTCTGGCTCTGGTATATGTGCTGTCCAAGGGAGCACAGCCTCCAAATTTTAAACTAGGTTTGTGACAGCCTCTTAAAAAGAATCCTCTCATGACTCAACAACTGACTAGTCCTGAGTACTAACTTTCCCAGGCGCAACCACTATTTGTCCCAAAGGCCATCTAGCTGACATACTGGTAAGTTATTGCAGTTCCTGAGCTACCAGCTTTCACACTAGTTCTGCACAATATCAACACAAGCCTCAATTTAAAGCACACTGATCATTTTCACGTCGAAGACTAAAAAGAAAAAAAAAAGTCATAAATACCTGTATCTTAATCTTACACAAAACGACCAGACAACCTTAGATCCTTCTTTTCTCCTCCCAGAGCCAACAGCACAAATCTCTCCTAAATTTAATCTCAAAATGAGCTCCCATCCGACACCATCCAACAGAGTTAATTAGGCAGAAGTCGATGTAATTCAGCAGTTCTCTGCTACAAGCTGAATCAAATGTTTAAAAAATATATACAGCTAGGGAAGCAGGGAAATCAGAAGTCTCTTACCTGTAGCAAATTCTCCGCTAAATACATGCACAGTATCTACTTTGTACATTATCCACTGCAATTTTTTTTTAAAAATCTGGGGCTGATTTGTCTAACATCCCACGGTCCCATCTTAAATTGGTACAAGCTAAGAGAATACACTGAAAACCAGTTTCATTTTGGCCCAAGCAGTATCTAGACAGATCTACAGGGGAAAAAAATGCATAATTCATTCAAAAGCCACATAAAAATGATTCCCTGCCCCCCCCACCCCGACTCAGAATTACCCACCCACACCACTTCTCTTTTGCAGAGTCTACTTGCTGGATATGTGGACAGGGCGTCCAGTCACGACTAAAACTCTAAAGTCATCCTTCTCTTGCCATTTTTTTCCTATTAAAAACGTAACAGTTAAAGACTACCAAAAGGAGTAAGCCACCTCAAATTAATTCAGAAGATTCATACTGCATTAAACTAAACCATTCTGTTGCCTATGGTTGTGAAACATTTTGTCTTTGGCTAAATAAATAAATAAATAAATAAATAAAAAATAAAAAAAGGCAAATTACACAGTTGTACCTTGCAGCCTTAGAACCCCATCTGCAGCACTCTTGACAAGCTATTCTACACACATCTAGGGGAACCCTTGGCCTAACACTGAACTTTAAGCTTCACTGGCATTACATAAATATCAACATGCTTCAGAAATATTCAGGGCAGCATAAGGAGTGTCTAAATATCCCACTCAGAAGTATCACGAGAGGCCTCCTTAAGCTTTCGGTAAAGTCTATGTTCTCTCAAAACTAGTATCACAACATCGAGCCATTGAGATTACAGATACACCAAAAACACCGGTAGAAAAACAAAAGGTTAATAATAGAGTGTATTCGCTTATCATCCTGGGTTCGACTTGTTATTTTTAGCTCCCTTACTTTTATAAGCTCCAGGACTTTTTTTTTTTTTTTTATCAAAGATCATTGTATAAACTGAGTGAACATCAACAAACGCTAACAATATCTTCCACAATACAACACACACTGGAAGAAACCATGACTTCTTTCCTCCATTACCACCCACCACACCCAAATGGCACAATGGCTTAAAATAGCATCCTTGGTTTACAAACATATACTGTCTGACATCAAATATCATTTACATGGTGATGCTTGGTACCTTACA